TGCCTGCCTCCTCTCCTTCCACAGCTCCAAATAAACAACTTTTGTCAAGTCCACCATGTTTGTCTCTGTGTTTATTTTTTCTGTTTTTCTGCCCGAGCGCTCACACCTCCCCCATGCCCTGTTTCCACAATCCCCTTCTCTCTCTTCGGCTTCCTCTCGCTCAGAACATGGCACTCTGAATATGCATGTTGTTTGGGAACTAGAGGACAACATTTTCAACAAGACTGCTTTCTTCGGTTTGTTTTACCATTTAGCAACATGTTACCACAGAATTAATGGCTCACACATCATTATATCGGGGGAAACATCCACAAACAGGAGAGTTTATTATTGCAATCTCAGGTTTAGCTCCTCCTCCAGACGTTCATACAAGGAGCGTTAGCTGCTGTGTGAACATATAAAGCATCTCAGTGTGGTAAAACTACTGCTATATCATGCTTGGTTTGCTATAAACCAATTGGTAAACATAACTTCTCAATAAATTGGATTTTTTTCATTCTTTATAATTCAGGAATTCAGATTCAAACAGGAATATCGGTAACACTTTATTTGAAGGGGTGTGCATAAGACTGACATGACACGGACAAAAACATGACATAACACCTGTCATGAACATGAAAATGTCTTTATGAATGTTTATGACTGTTGTCATGAAGTGTCATTCAGTAAATAATGACACTTTTAATGCAAAGTTGCTCTAAAAGTTGCATTAAAAGTCCATTAAAAATGCCAACTTTGCATTAAATTATCATAATTTACAAAATCATGCAAAGTTGGCACTTTTAATGAACTTTCAATGCAACTTTTAGAGCAACTTTGCATTAAAAGTGAACATAGATTAATTCTAGTCTTACCTGGACTAAGGAGAAAAAGGATTGGGCCGTTACTCAATGGTGGAAAGTCTTTTTCTCAGATGAAAGTAAGGTTTTCATTTCATTTGGAGAGTCAGGAGAAGCAGAATTCATGTTGCTTTAAGCCCAAAGTGACATTTCCACAACCAGTCCACATCTACCAGAAACATTAAGAGCACTTCATGCTTTCCTCTGCTGACGAGCTTCATGGAGATGCTGATTTCATTTTTTGCAGGACTTTGCACTTCCTCACTCTGCCAGACGTATTAATAACCTTTCTAATGTCCATGTTATAATTGCTGTTTTGTGTATTGCTGTTGCTTTATGCAGCAGTGCGACGTGGGTAATGAGGAAGAAGGAAAGTTTCATAAATGGAAAGATTTACTTTTTTAAATGAAAGACACACAAAAGTAACATTTAATACAGAGCAACACCTGCTCTGTATTAAAGCAGAGCAATTTCGCTGTTTAAACATCTTTGAAGTTTTCTAGAAGTTTGTTCCAGATTTGTGGTGCATAGAAGCTGAACGCTGCTTCTCCATATTTGGTTCTGGTTCTGGATGCAGAGCAGAACCGGAACCAAAAGACCTGAGGGGTCTGGAAGGTTGGTACAACATAACAAGTATTTAATGTATTTTGGTGATAAGCCATTCCGTTTTTTAATAAACTAACAACAGTATTTTAAAGGCTATTCTCAGAGCGACAGAGATTCAGTGTAAAGACTTTAGAACTGACACCAGTAGCAGCATCTGGATCAGCTGCAGCTGGAGGATTGGTTTTTCACAGACCTGTGAAGACTCTGTTGCAGTAATCAATATGACTAAAGATAAACGCATGGATGAGTTTCTCTAGATCTTGATGAGACATTCGTTCTCTAATCCTGGAAATGATCTTCAGGTGATAGAAGGCTGCTGATGTAACCATCTTTATGTGACTCTGAAGGTTCAGGTCAGAGTTCATCACTAGGCCTGACCTCTAGTTTCTATCTTTAATAACTGAATCTGGTATTCTGGTATAAAGGAATTTCATACAAAGGAAAAATTCCACAGTCCTTAAATTTGAAGTAATCTGGATGTGAGGCTAGAAAGTAGAAAAGTAACTTTTAAAGTTGGGTTTGCAAAATAACTTTCAAAAGCAAAAGCTGAGGCAAGAGACCAAGAGGATGTCCTCCTCTGTCCCAGACCAAAGGAGGACACACCCTTCATCCGTCTACGTCAGCATCAACTCATGCTCTGATGTCTTCCGTCGGCTCTTTGGTCTGTCCATGCTGGTTGCAGTGAGAAGCTACACAGTGAACAGGTGTGGTTTTCAAACACATCCTGCTGAGGTCAGGAGTGTCACTGGGACTGTGATGTTTAAGATGGAAAGAGAGCGAGCAAAAAGATTCCTGTGGAACACTGCGATTCTACGGCTATTCCTGGCCTGGAGGGGGACAGCGGACAAGCGTCTGATTGTGGAAGCGGAACAGAGTGTGTATGAGGGGGGTGAGGGAGATGTGTGCATGTGTGTGTACGTGTGTGGTGAAGGTGAAAGGCTCAGGATAGCCAGCCAGAGTGAGGCCATACACACTCACACACCTAGAGATTTTTACTGCTTGTTTACTGTGAGCATCCCAGGTTACACACACGTTTACAGTTAGAACATGGATATAGAACAGCTTCAGTCATAATGTGTCATAATCATTTTAAAATTATTTTCCCAAAGAAATGTCCAGCTACATCTGGTCAATTGCTGTGAAAACTAAGAAACAACAGAGGCAGGGTTCCCCTGGCGCGAACCTAAAGCTGTAAAATGAGTTTGGAGTGACAGGAAACGATGGCAGGAGCTCGCTGGCCGGCGGAGTTCCCACTGAGCAAACATTTATCTGTTTGTGCACCTATTTCGCTTCGCTCCTCCACAAAGGACCCTCTAACGTCCTGAGTGCCTCCTGACATGCCTCCGCGCCGACCACACCGGCACCACGAGTGCTCCGAGCGAAGAGGGAGCGGACAAAGGCAGAGGTCACAGCCTCCTCCTTCACTCGACCTCTCCGTCCTCGCCCTCCGTCTCTGCCCACAGCCCCACTCCTCCTGCCCGTTCCCATTAGGGAGTGACAAACGACTGTCATCGCTTCGCGTCTTTGATGTCCTCCAGCACACTGTCCCCATTCACAGCTGCATGCATGTGTCTATTGTTCAGGCAGCAGAGAAGTGTGAGCGAGTAAAAAGAAAACGGAGCTCAGAGCTGCTGCTGCTGAGTGAAACCTACAGAGATGATCTAAGTGAGACGATGCTAAGATGTAAAGCTAAGTGGTATAAAACCAGTTTTCTTCCTGTTGCCATGACATTCCAAAATTCAATGTGTCATAGTTTTATTTAATATTATTTATTTTATTTTATATTTGTTTTTGGGGTTTTTTTTTTATCTTGTTCTAATGAGAGTACTGTATGGTCTTTAATATTTTAAAGAGAGGAGCAAAAAAAGAAAATAAAATAAGTCTAATAACGTGTAATTGAAATTTCCGTTACCCCATGTAATTGTTTAATCAAGCCATTTTATTGTTCCATGGATAAAGTCCTGCTAATTAACTAATCCCCTGGCACTTACATCATGCTAAACTACATGAACTCGGTCTGGAATGGAAATCTCTCCTCATAAAACAGTTGAAAACCAGCAGGAGGAAAACAAACAGCACCTGTGCTCCTTTATTTGGGCTCATTCAACCTTCATTCCTTGTTGATCACTGAGGCGACGTTCACACTGCCAGCCGCTCAATTCAGATGTTTTGTGAAATCAGATTTTTTTTTTTTTGTGCGTGGTTGTTCACATTTCCTGATACATGAAAATTAGAAGAAAAACCACGACCATGATGATGAGCATTAAGCTGTTAATGTGCTGGCTCTGGCTGGACAGCGACTTTAACGTCACCAGAGACGCTCCACCGTTAGCATCCATGTTTACTTCCACAAACACTGAGCATGCTCACTGGGTGTGGCATCATTGCCTCCTCCACTGTGCGTGCAGGACACTGTTGGGTTGTCTGCAGTCACATACATTTGGAAATGTGAATGAACAAAATCAAATTTCACAGAAAATCTGAACAGAGCATTAAGACCTGCAGAGTGAACGTAGCCGGAGTGACCTGCTTCGCTTTTCTAAAAATCTGATCTGGCTCAAAGTCTGGCTGCTTTACCTGAAACATGGTTCTACAGCACATTGACTGAATGAGGTTGTATATTCCTGCACCTGAAACTTTTATGTTGTTTTAAAAACATAACGTAAACCGTGTATCCTTTTGTTCCGCTTCAGAACGATCGGTAAAAGAAACAATCAACTTTGTGATTTTATTGTAAAAAAGAAAAGTTTAGGGGTGTGAATACTTTTGTAACACCAGATGTGACTGTTACTGTTCAGCACTCTGTCTGATTCTGTAGGCTTCAGTTAGCTGATAAAATGGCAAAATTCATTACAGTAAAATTACAAAATATTAAAAAAGAAAACGTATAGTTTGTTTGGAAGAGTTTCCAGGAGACGCCCAGTTTATAAAGACAGCTAAAATTAACAAAGCTGCATGTTAAAGTTTTATTCATTTTAAACTGTATGTATGAAATAATTTTCTTTGTGCTCTACTACATCCTGGACAATAATCCTAACAATTAAAATGTGATTTTTATTTTTTTTTCTAAATTCTTTCCATAACTGAAACATTACACTGGTCAACAGCCAAATAAATTGTCTGGAGCTTTAGGGTCATTTTGATGAGCTGAATCCAAAAATCACATTGGTTTTGCTCAATCAGGTCAACTTTGTGAACTATGGAGCAACAAGAGCATCAACATGCAGGACTTGTTCTCACATCTGGAGAATCTGATCAATGAGTGATGAGCAGGAGGAGAGATTCATCAGGACAGGAAAGAGACGGAGAATTTTACACAATGTACTCACCCTTATCATTGTTTAATATCCAATTTACAGAAATCCAAGTTTGTAACATTTAATTAACACACTCTGTTAGAAAATATTTTTTCTCTAACCTGACTGAAAAAAAATGGATGTCACTCTTGGATTCAGCGGTGCAAAATAGTCCTAATTTAGATGAAAAAAAAAAATTTCCAAAGAAGATTTCTTGTAACCCGATGTTATCTCTCTGGTCTCTTTGTCCCAGTCTTACCATCAGAGCGGTGGATGCAGGTGTGCTGGTTGTCGCTCAGGAAGAAGCCATCTGTACACTGACACTCGTAGCTTCCCATTGTGTTCACACACACCTGCTGGCATCCTCCGTTGTTGTCCAGACACTCGTCCACATCTGGACACACACACAGAGAGAGAGAGACAGCACGGAGGCAAGGGATGAGACGCAGCAGTGGAACAAACGCTCATCACTTACTGAGCTGCATTAATAACAGCATATGAGTCACAGTTTATGTGCGCAGCGATGTTGACACCAGAATCAGGAATGTTACAAGGACCCAGGAGGAACAGCCATGCTGTCCTATCACACTAACAGGTGGATTCTGTGGCTGGATGAAAAGCCTGGCGCAAAGTGTTAGCGGGCGTCGCTCCGTACTGCAGGGAAACATTGTTTATCCTGCACTGTGCTGCTGAAAGGCTTATAAAGTTTTCAGTGAAGTGGCCTACGAACTGTACAGTAATCAGACGTGACAGCTTCTGTACGTGGGTGTGTGTGTAAACCCGGGTCTGACATGGTGACTGTGCGCCCTGTTTAGTCTGAAGTGCTGAGACGAGCCGCCGGCCTCAGGCAGGACACAAAACCAGAGAGGAGGAAGAAAAGGCAGATGGCAAGAGGTCACAACTGGACCGGCCGGCACCAGATGAAAGCAACACCAAGCTTTCAAAGTCACTACGCCAGAACAAGTCGGCCAAATGTGTTTCCATCACTCCTTTTAAAAAACACTACAGCAGCCTGTTAAGGCCATTGTAAGTAGGAAAATAAAAGGAATGAATTTCTGCAAAAAAAAAACAACAACAAAAAACTCAGAAATTTTAAGATTAATCTCATTATTTTTCTGAAAAGGAACCTGAACATTTCTGAGTGAAAATTTCAACACCAGTTCAATAATCGTTCCATTTTTGTATTAAATAAAAGGATTTAGACAGTATTAGTGAGTTTTTCTTCTATTCATGTTGTAGTTCAGGTTGTTTTTTAGCCACATGAATATTTTGAGAAATATGTTGTTTATTAGAATATTCTCTCTGGCAAACAGACTTGGTTTACTGAGTTAAGTTCTGGAATAGAATAGAATAGAATAGCCTTTACTGTCTCACACAGGGGAAATTCAGGCAGCAATAGGTTCACACAAAAGATCAAAACATGTTTAAATTATATATAAAGAAACAAGATTAGCAATAACAATTATAATATTCTATACAAGATTATAACATAAAAAGTACTGTACAGTTCTAACAAACAGAAAGGAATGTGTAACTGAGTAGGATGACTTTTAAAATGTACATAACAGATTTTAACAAATTCAGTTGCAAGTAGACAGAGATTACAGAAAACAGGTCATGTAATAATAATAAAAGCAGAGCACCATAAAGCTCAGCTGCTCTTCACAGCTTCCCCCGAATGAATGATGTTGGATATTCAGTCGGTTCTGTGACGGTCTAACGGACCTCAGCGATGACTTCACTGAGTTCTTCTGCTGCAGGCCCATAAAGTTCCAGCTCCGTGTGTAAATATAGCAGCGTAGGTTCTACGTTGTGAGCATAAATCGTGTCCTTGGTGAACTTCTGCTTTGTTTTCACAGCACTTCCTAACACTATTTTAGGTCAATCCTGAGCCGTAATGGATGCCATTAATATGACTGATGACTTTAATCTTCGGGTCGCTCGAGGAGAAAGTTAAGAGGAAAGAAATGCCATTCCAGTTTCTATACAAACATGGACAGAGGTGTTTTTTTTTTTTTTTCCAGTTTCAGCCACGGCCCCCTCCCCCCGATACCCCCTTCTTTTCACGTTGGGCTCAAATGAGGTGAAGCTCCATCTAAACACAGTGAGGATGTGCTTCATATACAGCGCATCCGGAAAGCATTCACAATGCTTCACTTTTTCCACATTTTCTTGCTCTAGCCTTGATCCGAATTGTATTAAATTATCACTTTCCAAATTATAGACACAAGCACTCCACTAGGACAAAATGATTTAAAAAAAAAAAGCCTTTGAGAGTTTCACAAGCTCACTAAAAATAGAAAACAAAGAAAATCACATTTACAGAAGCATTCACAGCCTTTGCTTAATGCTTCGTTGATCCACCTTTGGCAGCTTTTACCGCCTCCAGTCGTTCTCAGGTTCTTCCCTCCTGCTCTTCTTCAGCTCCAGCAGGTTGGATGGAGACGTCTGTCAGACATCTTCAGATCTCTCTGGAGATGTCCAATCAGATTCCAGTCTGGTCTCTGGTTTGGCTCCTCCAGGATGTTCACAGAGAGGTTCTGAAGCCTGTCCTCTGGGTCGTTGTCCTGCTGAACTAATGAACCTTCGCCTCAGTCTGAGGTCAGGATGCTCTGCAGCAGGTTTTCATCTACTCTGTTCATCACTGCATTCGTCTTTATCTGTCCTGACTAGTCAGTCAGTTCCTGCTGCTGCAGAACATCCCAATGGCATGATGCTGCCACCACCATGCTTTGCTGCAGAGAAGGTGATGAGCCGCGCCTGGTTTCTTCCAAACACAACGCCTGTCATTCACACCTGAGCTCAGTCTTCGTCTCATCTTGTGTCTGCAGGTCTGAGGTCCTTCAGGTGCCTTTGTCCATCTCCAGGCCTGATTGGTGGATCGCTGCAGAGATGGTCATCCTTCTGGAAGATTCTCCTCTCTCCAAAGAGGACAGCTGTAGCTCTGACAGAGTGACGCTACTAAAGGCTTTCTCCTCCGTTCGCTCAGTTGAGACAGCAGGTCAGCTCTCTCATCTCCTCCTCGGAGCTGCAGTGTCCAGGCTCACAGAGCAGCCCCTCCCCGCTCAGCTCCTTCAGACTAGCCAGCAGTAATTAGCAAACACCTGGTAGAACTTCACATCTGCTGAGCTCAATAAAGAAGCTACTTCTCACTGCAATGCTAGTAAAAACATTAAAGGGTTAATAGCGGAGCCATGATGTGATGACTTCCTGAAGGTGGAGTTTCTGAAAGAGCAGGAATTTTTAAAGAGACAGAGGCCCAATTCTAAGGTCTTAAAATGCAAAGTCAAATTTCATTTAAATCATGTTTGATATATACAGCGTTTTTATAACAACTAAAGATAACATAGTTACCTGATTGTGCAGTAAAATGGCATTATGTGCCTAGAAAATGCATAACAGTGATCCTTTTGAAGCTACACTACAGATTGTCGTACTTCATAAACATCCTCCATGTGCTCAGGTATAAAACTATTTGATTGGTACATGGGTAGGACAAACTGAGAGGACTATACTGGATATGTTCGGTAGGAATATGTGTAACGTTACACCGTTACCTAAAATGCAATGTTTGTTAATCCATGATGGAGATGTCCATGTTTTAGGTGACACGTTGTCAGAACGCTGGCAGGTTTATTTCTTCTGTTGGGGCAAAATATCAGCCTAGATAAAAAGAAAAAAAAAACTGCTCAAAATACTTTATTAATCATAACTGTGAAAAAAAAAAAATCAAAAATACTTCTTTAATTTCAAGTTGAGATTAAACATTGTAATAACTTGAACTATCTAGCTTCTTTAAAGGATTGCTAAAGAATCTGGATTGTCTTGGTTCTCCAAGCCAATCCATGGACTGGTAATAAGGCAGATGGCTTTGATTTCATAAATATCCTTATTTTCTTTCATTGTTTCTGTAGTCCCACATCTCCTGTCTGCAACATGCCAAAATTTGCACACAGTTCTCCACAACTGCCCACTTTGGATCCAAATCTGAGATCCAAGGTTTGAAATGGAAAAGACACGTTGGAGGGAAGGAAAATAAACTTGCTCAAGTGCAGCAGACATTCAAAGAAGTCACGCAACCGGCGGCACATTGGGTCCAGCTGTGTCCACGGCGAACCCAAATAAACAAAGTCGAAATCAAAAGGAAGCGAAGAAACCAAACAGGACGGCTTTTTAATTAGAGGACAATTAGCCAACCTTAAATCAGTTAATGTCCTCAGTTACTGACACGGTGCATCTGCTGAGATGATGGAGCGACTTCCTGCACGCTCACACAAAACCGATGTCCGCAATTTTTCCAACGTCGGGTTTGTCATTTAACTACAAGGCCGTGAGGTTTCTCAATATCATAGCTTCGGCTCCATTAAAAGCCGCAGAGCCTTTATAGTGTTTTTGCAAGCAGGCCCAGAGGATGTGAGCAGAATGTGATATGAAAGGAGTCTGAACTCTGACAAGCACGCTGGGAAAATAGTTTTCAAATTAAACTGTAGCATGTTGAGAACCCAAAGTGACAAAAGCAGAAAGCGGCGGCTGATCTGCATCAGTTCTGCTAGGTTTCACGACTCATAAACGACATAAACCTGAACCCAACGCTGACCTCGTCAGGGACTGACTTCATTTTTCGGATATGATTAACTTGTGAGGAAGCAATCTGACAAGTCTGACTCTGGTACAGGAAGGCGTATGATTTTACTTTCCACTGCCTTTGAACTTGGCAAAGCTGGAAAACACTGTTATGACGACTTTTAATGGTAATAATGAAGCATGTTTTTGTCAGAGGAAGCAAGAATTAACACATATGTGAAAGGAAATGGAAGAACATGACCTCATGTCATGGTGTTTAAAAGTTTATCTCCTGATGAATAATACAGTTGAGAGTGATTAAAAAATTACGCTGTATTGTTATTGTTTCATCCATTTTTGTTCAAGCTATATTTTCCTGGCTGATGTTTTGAGATTTTGCTTTAATATTTCTGCATAATGTTCTTTTCCTGTGGTGTCAGATCATTATTTTTTTAAATGCAACAATCCTACCTGCAGTAAAACACCCGTACACAATGCCTCCAATTCTTGCAAATGCAATAGACATGAAAAAAAAAATCTAAAAAAAAACACACCATAATTTAAAAAAAATAAAAACTGAACAATTCTGTCTTTTTTAATGATGGATATTATGGGAAAAATAATTGTAACTGAATGTTTGGATTTATGACTGAAGCTGGTATTTGGAAGTAAAAAAATGGACTGACTTATGACATTTAGTCACAAAACCAGTAAAATAACTTCTATAACTTTTAAAATAGTTTGTAAGGAAATACTTTGACTCTCATTAGGGAGGATATGAACATTACAATTTGTAATTACTATGAGAATACATCCCTTTAAATGTCATGATACAACTGTTGTAGGGTAAATCTTCCTTGTCATATTAGGGCAACCAGACCCAACTGTGCCAGCACAAGACACGTAGAAACAAGGATAACACAGAAGAAAAGCTTTTTGTGTTTGAGGCACAGCTTAAAACTGAAAACTTTACTACAAGTTTTAATAAAAAAAAGTTTGGCTGAATTTGTAATGTCAGTTTGTGAAACGAAAAACCGCAGGAATTAAAAATGGGACGGGAGGTCTGAGCACAAAGCTGCTACTGGTTCTGTGATCACAGATATTCTGCCTGTGATTTCACACTTTACTGCCTCGTTTGAACTCTGATTTAATCAGCAGAAACTCATTAAGGCTGCATCCAGTCAACATCTAGTAAAGCCAGTCTTGAGGTTAGGGACAGACACAGCTGGTTTCCTCTCACCAGCCAGTAAATACCAGTGACTGTTGGAATTAGCAACCCAAATACCTTCTACTTAATCCACAATCCTGAACTTAAACACATGTACTGTACATGTACAACGGTACAGTCAGATGGCTAACAGAATGAAATAAAGAAGCCAACTTCCAGCAATACACTGCTTAGGTAAACTGCTTTTGTTTAGAATGGTTGTCTTGTGTGGGCTTTAATGTGCTAACTACACTGTATAAAGTACATACAGAAGAAATTACAGCACATTTTTTGTAAATTGCAGGTTTTTCTAAATATCATGACCGCACATACAAAATACCTCCTCCTAAACTATCTGTCTTGAACAAATCCCTAAATTTTCAGGAAACTTATAGAAAAACACCAGGAAAACACCATAATTTAAAAAAATTATAATGCTAGCTGCTCAGGTAGCTAGCCTTCCTTCCTGAAGCTAGCTTCAGGAAGGCTAGCTTCAGGAAGGCTAGCTACCTGAGCAGCTAGCATTATAATTTTTTTAAGATTATGGTGTTTTCCTGGTGGGTAGGGTTAGGGTTAGGAGTTTGTTCAAGTTATAGCTCCTTCTCCATAACATCCTCCCACACCCAGCAGGCTAAAGGCTGCTCTTAATCAACAACCGAAAAAACCACCGTCTGCCCTCCAACATTCTCTTCTCCTGCACCTTCCAAGCCAAACCAGCAACCAACTACACCTATATGGAGGAATTTTTCTGCCACAGTCCAAGAGCACTCAAAGTCTGAAAGCATGATTTCATGTCTTTTAATACTTTTGCTTACATTTTTATTTTGAAAGCAGGACTTCTTACCTTTCTTCTCAAAACTTGTAATGCTTACTCAAAACTTCTTCTCGCGCTCACACTTATTAGTCTCTACTCAGACTCTCTGCTTGCTTTCGAAACATTCTCTGCTTGCTGTTTGGAACCGCCTTTTGGCACAGTCACCTGGCAACCTCTCAGCCAATAGAATGAAATCCTCCTACCAGGTGTGCCTGTGAAACTACCATCGATTGTAGCAACCTGCGCCACCCATTGGATGTAGGGAGAAACAATAACATCCGCTTTCTGCTCCACAGTACACTAACCATCCGCCAGCAGTGTGCTACTGATCGCTAACAGCTACTGATCTTAGGTAGCATTTTGTTCACCAAAGACAACATAGTCATGACATGATACTGTCTGTCTGTCTGTCTGTCTGTCTGTCTGTCTGTCTGTCGATAGATGGATAGATGGATAGATAGATAGATAGATAGATAGATAGATAGATAGATAGATAGATAGATAGATAGATAGATAGATAGATAGATAGATAGACACTTTGATGACACTTTGCTAAAATGAGTGAGCACTGCCCAACCTTTGTTGCAAAAATGTAAACAAGAAAAGAAAAATGAAAAACTAAAAAGAGGAAATGAGGACAATAAACCCCAAAAAGCTTTGGAAAATATTCTGCTTGTCATTTAAGACAGCAGCTGTATTAAATGACAGCTGTTCAAATGTCCAAATGTTGGTTCAACAATAATTTACAGATTTCTTATCTACAACAAATTTAACTGCTTTACACCATTAAAATATTGTCTAAATCTTTTGAGTTTTAATTTGATAAAAGACCATTGAATACTGGTAACTTGACAATTTTGGCCCTCAAGGGAAAAAGTATGGACACAGTCGCTGTAAGGAAAACCCACCAGTGAGGCAGATCAATAAAATCAAACATAACAACAAACTCATCACAAAATGTCTGAAAAACAAGAGAATCGAGATACTGCAATGTCCTAGTCAAAGCTGAGACCTAAAGTTGACCGATATGCTATGGGGAGAGCTCAGAGGAGCCCCATAGCATATGGGGAGAGCTCATAAATTAACGTCTGACATCGCAGTGAGGGGGAGCTCAGCATTGGAAGCGAAACAACATTTTCATGAAGAAGTTCATCCTGGCAGCATGAAGCGATAAGCCAGGCAAAAGGCCAGAAGTCCCAACAGAAGCCATTCATACCTAAACAGTTGTGTCCATCGTGGGCCAGCATGAATCCATCGTAGCAGGTGCACCTGTAGTTCCCAGGTATGTTGATGCATTCATGGACACAGCCCCCATTGTAGTCATTTGTACATTCATCCACGTCTGAAAGAGAAAGCAGTTCATGTTACCCAAACTGTGTTTATGAGGTTATGTTGTGACTTTATGTTCTGAATGTGTTCAGTTATTGTTTTTATTTGTCTAAGTCGCCTCAGCTTTAATTTCAAACGAGTTTCATGCAGCTTTAGAATTTAAATCCGTTGTAATGTTTAGATTTGTTTCCTTTTAATTGTGTACATTTCCCAGAGAAATTATTTTTACATTATGCACATTAAAGGAGAACAAGTCAACAAGATCTGAGCATTTTTTTAAAATTATTATTATTATTCTAATGGCTGTTAGAGGAATGGAGTTAAAACAGACTTCTGCTAGCTGCTCCACTGCCTAATAGATTTCAGTCAATTCTAAAAAGATTGTAGGCAACTAATTGTACATCACAGTCACTCACAATTCTCTGGCTCCAAGTCTCAGATGGACATAAGAGGACCAGGACCAGAGTGTAACTTTAGCCTTTGTGGCTTTAAAGTGCAAGAAGGATCTGGAGAAGTGAAGTTTACTGTCAGTGACTTCACAGAGCCGTGGAAAAAACATGTGTCTGGAAAATGACAACTGAGCCTTGAAAACTGGTCACGTGAAAGATAAAACCCATTCATGCCTGGAAATGTTAAAATAATACAACCATAATAATCACGCAAATGGACCTCAGGGCGTTCAAATGCAATCTGACAAACACACGCAAGTCAACAGTAACCAATATATAATACCCAAATGTAAGAATCTGCAAGAATTAAACTAAGGTAGTGAAAAGAACTGCACATGTGCTTCTTGTATGTAGGGACATCTAAAATTGTTCAAATAAAGTTATTTGTTCAATTGAGCAAAGACAAATAAAAAAGCTGTCAAAGATAGCAGTAGAAGACGGATGAGTGACCTTCTGAGCTGGTTACCGGTTGATCACCAGCTACATTTCCATGTTTCCATTAAAGACAACAGGAAGTACTAGAAGGATGATAGATTGTTTTTGTTTTTCGGGACAATGTGCAGCTGAACGTGTTGGATCTTCTGTAAAATCTGCACTATTTCCCAAAAACACTGGTGACTACGATGCAACCAACAAAGGCATTACTAACATGTCCTCCTTTGCTATCAGCTGTTATAATGTATGTTTCTGTTTCAAATTCATCCAGTTGTTCTCTTCCGTTTGATCAGAGACAAAGGTTTCTATTTTAATGTGAGACTACATGCAAATTAGAAGTGAGATTTGGAATAATATGTAGGAGGGAAAATCTGTTGGTAGTTCCATTGGCTGCACAATATGCCTTTTTTGTCTGTGCATGCCACTGATTATATTTAATATTTCAACATTTTCATAAAACCTTTCAGTCCCCCCTCCCCATGCCCTGAGAAAACATCATATTTCATGTTGAACTTGTTTTTATTATGTTTTTCTATGTCTGGTTATTCCACAGATCGGGCTTTCTCATTTTTATATGACATATAGTTTGAAGCATATGAAGAGATAACAAAAAAGTTGCACCTGGTGGATTTTTACCGACCCCCAGTGGGTGTGAGTAAAGAGAAGTCAGGCAGACAACAGTTAGGCAGAGATGTGTTCAGACACAATCTGAGTCAGGTTGGATCCATTTCTGGGTGTCTGTGCTGAGTTATGTAACTGTGCCAGTAAGCAGCCAGTAAGAAGAGTGGCTGGCTGATGACGGAGCTGCAGACGCCAGGCAGACAATGGCCTACTAAGTCTGAGACGTCTCCCTCCCCCCCCCTCACCTATACTGTGTCCCTCATCATCAATCTGAGATGATTTTTTTTAAAGCGGTCTCTGGTAAGCGGGTCAGGTGGGTGTCACCTGTGTCTGTTGGAGTTCACAGCAGAATCTGCCACTGTATCTCCACTGACTCCAGACAGAATAAAGCATGCTGGCCTTTGCAAAAGTATTAACACCCATTGAATCTGCTCACAATTTGCCATATTCCAAAACTTCAATGAGGTAAATATTTTTTCACAGCACCTGACACCTTGGCTTCAGTAAAAATCTTTCAGATTATCATGGGTTTATAACACCTGATGATGACTTAGGGAAATCTGACACAAGTGAACATTTTCCAGCAGCTTTTAACTGAATCAGACATCTTCATAATGCAGACAGTGTAGTCTGCACATGTGAACTCTGGACGTACTCCAACAGCTCAGTGTAGTCTTCAAATGACAGAATTAAACACGTTCGAATGATGCATACAGTTTATGAACAGTGCGATGCTGTCAGAGCTCCGGTGGAGACAGCAAAACTGTTAAGAAGCAATAATATTTTCTGTGTAACAGTGGTGTCAGAAGTGGGATAGGGTTAGGGTAGGGTTAGGGTAAGGTTAGGTAACCCTAACCCCTAACCCTTACGCCTGTGAATGAAGGAAGACAACAGGCTAAATGAGAGGTGTGGTGTGGAAGGAAAACTCAGCAAAGTTGGCTGTAGCATACATAAAGGTGATTTATTAGGCCTCCTTCAGCACAGCATAACCCACTCAGAAGACAAAATGGCATTGTTTCCAGCAGTCTCTCAGCTTTCTCTTTTCCTCCAGCAGTGTCCTTATATACTGTTGTCCCCACCTTCTCTATTAACTGCCCAGCCAATCAAACTCCAGCAAACATGGCCATTTCTATAAAAGAGCTGGGTTTGAGGCGGGCCTCCTCTTTGGTAGGTTCCAAGATGGCCGCTACAAGGACACACCCAAAAGGTAACAAACATTTCACAAACAAAAGGATCACATACGTACACACATTCTAGAACTTAAATGTTACAGAAAATATTATTGCTTCTTAACAAAAACCAATCCACCATCCTCCTACCACTTCCTGTCATCTTCTTCATGGTTTTCGCCAGTAGTACTATCCAGCTGTTGATCATGTGACCCATATGATGCTAACAAATACATGTTTCCATTGCAGATCCATGAGATGAATATATGACGATAAGCACCTCACCCTAGCGGAAAAACCTTTTGTCAAAAACCATGAGTTTTTCAAGTTTCCATAGAAGAAGAGGAGAAGTGACCTAAGGACAAATTACAGAGACCAGTCAACCTAACAGTCATGATTTTTGGACTGTGGGAGGAAGCTGGAGTACCTGGAGAGAACCCACTGATGCTCTGAGAGAAACATGCAAACTCCATGCAGAAAAGATTCACAGCTGGGATTCAAACCGAGGACCTTCCTTCTCCAAGGCAGCACTAATTTGCTTATACTTAGATATTTTCAATGATTCTCTGTTACCTATTCTATTTTTTCATCTGTTTATTTTGTAACCCAATGCAACATAATTTTTCAATGCATCTTTGACTTAATGTCTGAATAATGTCATAAAATGTGAATTTTAATCAATAAAACATGTAGAACCTCAGCTAACATCCACCAGTGGAATAATCACCACAGACGATGTTTACACAAACATTCCTAGCGGCTACAAAGTCTTCCCACATCTTCATTTTGGTCTGTCAAAACATATTCTGCTGTTTCCCCAGCTACACTGACTCCACTTGACAAAAAGTTGAACATCATCAGCAAGAGCTTTGGAAGATCTATGGAGGGCCATCCCTGACAACCACATGTGTCATGATCTGCAATTAATGTTTTGTTCCTGCTTTCATTCCATTAGAGCAGATGATAGATCTGATTTCACTGTTCAGGAGACACACAACCCTCATTTAGGCATGAGTCTGTGTTATATGTTTACACAGTGCTTTAGATGATGCAGAACTGCCTAGATTAAATGTCTCACATCAACAAATAAAAATTCGCCATGGCCACAAAATGACAGTAAATCATGCAAACAAATGAAAGCCCAAACCGACCAGCAAAGGCAGCTTTTATCCTTTTTTCTATTAGACGATTGCACTTGGTTTGTCTCAGAACTGCAGGCATATCGTGTGGAGAAGTTGGTGCCCTACATGGACCCAGGCAGTTTTACTCTACAAAAATACATTTTCAAGATCCTAATTGTGTCCTTGACCATTTGTCCTCAAAGTAGACAGATCACATTAACAGAATAGGAACGTGCGCTTGAATGATTGTCAGCTATTTGGATTCGCTGT